TTTTAATGGAGACAGAATCTCACTATGTTGTTCTTGGTAGAATTGTGAACTCTTGGTGTCACAGTTCATAGCAACCTCCAACTCTTGGGCTTAAGCGAGTCTCTTGCCTCAGCCTCCCAAGTAGCTGGGACAACAGGCACCTGCCACAACGCCTGGCTATATTTTTGTTGCAGTTGTCATTGTTGTTTAGCAGGCCCAGGCTGGGTTCTAATCCGCCTGCCTCTACCCACTGAGCTATGGGTACTGAGCCATGTCTGGATAGTTTTTGTAGTAGAGATGGGGTCTCACTCTTGCCCAGGGTGGTCTTGAACTTCTGAGCTAAGGTGATCCACCTGTCTTGGCCTGCCAAAGTGCTAGGATTATAGGTATGAGCCGCCATGCCCAGCCTATTCTCTAACTTCTGATTGATCATTTCTTATCAACATACTGGCCTCCAGATTGGATCCAGATTCCCTACGTTCATTATACAGCTTCCAGAACACTCGCGACTCACTTTAGGAATATGCAGACTCCAGCTCCACAGTGAAGTGCATGAAAAATGCAAGCTCCAACCTCTTCCCCATTAACGATTTCTTGACAGCAAATGTTCTGAGAACATAGTATAGCCCCACAGAAAAGACAGAGGACAGGATGTTTTCGCTCATCATCTGCAGACCGCGGGCACCTCAAAAGAGAAGAAAACATTCAGTATTGGGGGGAAAAAAAACAAAAAAAGCACCATACATTTGGTTAGAAATAAAATATGTTATTTTCCCACTGGCCCTTTTCCAGCAAAGAAACCTCTAAATATAAGGAAGACATTTAATTAGATGATTCCTCTTTAATACTGCCCCCAAGAGGAGTTAATGAAAAATCTTCTCATTAATGCATAGTAAGAAAATCTATTATTATATGCATGTTGTCCTGATAATTCTCATAAAGTATGATGATTAAATATTCATTGAGATGAGATTCATTTAAAAAAGCTAGTCTTCAGCAGGGTGCAATGGTTCACACCTATAATCCCAACAGTTGGGAGGCCAAGGCAGGTGGACTGCCTGAGCTCATAGGTTCAAGACCAGCCTGAGCCACAGCAAGAGACCTCATCTCTAAAAATAGCTGGGCATTGTGGCGGGTGCCTATAGTCCCAGCTACTTAAGAGAATTGCTTAAGTCCGAGAGTTTGAGGTTGCAGTAAGCTATGATGCCATTGAACTCTATCAATGGTGACAAAGTGAGACTCTGTCTGGAAAAAAAAAAAAAAAAAGAAAGCCAGTCTTCATCTGACATGCCCAATTTACAATCAACTGCCTCTCCTGTATTGGTTTAGTCAATCTTGTGTCCTCAGTGTGGAAGGAATATGATCTTGTAGGTGTGCGCCTATTAAAAAAAAACTGGAGCCTGGACATAGTGGCTCATACCTATAATCCTAGCACTTTGGGACACTGAGATAAGAAGACTGCTTGAGGCCAGGAGTTTGAGACAAGTCTGAGTAACATAGCAAGACCTCATCCCTAAAAATAAACCAATAACAACAAAAAACCTAAAGAATTAGCTACGTATGGTGTGAACACCTATAGTCCCAGCTACTCAGGAAGCTGAGGCAGGAAGATTGCTTGAGGCTTGGAGTATGACGTTGCAGTGACCTAGGCTGACATCACTGCACTCTAGTCTAGGAGAAGATCAAGATTCTGTCTAGGGAGGTTAGAAGAAAAGACAAGAAAACAACAAAAAGATTATTGTAATACAGATCTAAACACATTCCCTCCATTTCTTTGAAATACTGAGATCTTTAGGGTTGAAAGACTGTAGCCTTTGAGGTAGCCCGCTCTTCCATCTGGAAATCATAGCAAGTCCTAGAAAAGAAAAAGTGGCTCGGCACCTGTGGCTCAAGTGGCTAAGGTGCCAGCCACATACACCTAAGGTGGCGGGTTCGAATCCAGCCCAGACCCGCCAAACAACGATTTCTGCAACCAAAAAATAGCCTGGCGTTGTGGCGGGTGCCTGTGGTCCCAGCTACTTTGGAGGCGGAGGCAGGAGACTCGCTTGAGCCCAGGAGTTGGAGGTTGCTGTGAGCTGTAATGCCATGGCACTCTACCCAGGGGGACAGCTTGAGGCTCTGTCTCAAAAAAAAAAAAAAAAGAAAGAAAAGAAAAGAAAAAGTGACAGCATTGACTTCCTTGAACCAAGTCATAGTATACTGAGAGCTGACTATTTTACATAGTGGTATGTGGGAAGCTTGCTCTAATGCCCCCTAAAGGGAGACAATGATTGTTTTTTTTTTTTTTTGAGACAGTCTCACTATTTTGCCCTCAGTAGAGTGCTGCAGCATCACAGCTCACAGCAACCTCGAACTCTTGGGCTTAAGCAATTCTCTTGCCTCAGCCTTCCAAGTAGCTGGGACTAGAGGCATAACACCCAGCTATTTTTCTGTTGTAGTTATCATTGCTGTGTAGCAGGTCCTGGTGTACGTGGAGGGTGCCCTAACCACTGAGCGATGGGTGCTGAGCCGAGACAATGATTTTTTAAAAGGAGGTTCCCATGCTCTACCTATCTCTGGTTTATAATGTACACAATGGTAAACATCAAGAATTCCTTAATTTGGGCAGTAAAAAATAAATGCAACCAGAGGAGAGATCCAACTAGGCTAGGCCCACATTAGGGTCAGAATAAAGAACAACAAAAAGAATCTCCACTAGGGCACTGACAGTTTATTCTCCAATCCCCAGTTTCTCAGGCAAGATTTAAAAAACCCAGAGAGCAGAGGGTATCTATGAAGAGGCACTCCATTCCTGTTTCCTGTACCTGTGGGGAATACTTATACTTCTTGGGGGTGGCACTAAACACAATTACAACCCTTTTTGGGTAAAGCCAACATCATCTTTTACCTTAAGTATAGGACGGCTGAGTTTGAGTCATCAGCCATCCCACAGAGGAAAAGGGGGCAAGTTGCCTAAGGTACAGTAACAGAACAGCCACCCTCCCAACACCAGGGATGGTTCAGTCTAAATGGAAGTTGTAGTGACAATAAAACTGGAAGAGATCATGGGACTTATCTTTATTCTTTTTTTTCTTGAGACAGAATCTTACTGTCACCCTGGGTCGAGTGCTATAGCATCATAGCTCATAGCAATCTCAAACTCTTGCACTTGAGCAATCCTGTTGCCTCAGTCCTCCTGAGTAGCTGCAACGACAGGCATCCACCACAACACCCAGGTAGTTTTTCTATTTTTAGTAGAGATGGTGTCTTGTTCTTGCTCAGGCTGGTCTCGAACTCCTGAGCTCAAGCATTCCACCTACCTTAGCCTTCCAGAATGCTAGGATTACTAGCATGAGCCACAGTGCCGGGCCACTTAATCTTTATTCTCATGTGAAAGCAATTAAGTAGTAATATTATCCAGGAGGATATTCACTGTCATTAAATACTAACACTTTTCTCCGGTACCCCTAGGTACCAAAAATCTGATACTCTTTAAGGAAGATAAGACTTAACTCACTAGGCTTCTGTAGTAGCAATGCAGCCCTAAGATCAGGACAATCATTGAATTTAGAGCTAGAGCCAATCTTTGAAATTATCTAGCTCATTTTTTGAGGGTTGAAAGGTAAAGTGACTTAACCATTCTTTTAGTTGGCTGACTAGAAAGGGGTCTACAACATCAAGTTCACTTTTATCTGGTAAAAGAAGCTGAAGTGTGAGCTCTCAAGCCCCTACTGGGCCAGTTAATCCCCCTGCCTTCATGGCTTAAAGCAATGGTTATGCCTAAAAAGAAAATTTCGTTAGTCATCCTGCAGGGCAGTGATTCTCAGAGTGAGAACTGCTCTGAGAGGTCTTCAGACCTCAAAATGATCCTAATCTTTTTCTCTGTTTCCTTCAAGTGACAGCAAGTTATTTAACATGTGACTAAGGATTGCTATGCCAAGACAGTGAATTAGAGTTACTAACTAGTAACTTTATTTTTTTTTTTAGAGACAGAGTCTTAGTTTGTTGCCCTCGTAGAGTGCCGCGGTGTCATTGCACACAGCAACCTCAAACTCTTGGGCGCAAGTGCTTCTCTTGCCTCAGCCTTTAAAATAGCTGGGACTACAGGTGCCTGCCACAACAGTAGGCTATTTTTTAGAGACAAGGTCTCACTCTGGCTCAGCTGGTCACAAACCTGTGAGCTCAGGCAATCCACCTGCCTTGGCCTCCCAGAGTGCTAGGATTATAGGCGTCAGACATCACATGTGGCCTAACTAGTAACTTCAAAACAAAATGTAAGTTTATGTTTTGAGATAGCGCCTTCAGGCAGTGGGTTGCCTAGGCAGGGCATGGCAGCGAGGAGCCTGGGGAGTAGCAGTGTCTCTGATCAGCGGGATCCATGGTTGCCTCTTCTTCACTCTGTTAAGTGGAAGTTTATCTTCCAGACTGAGGAGGAGCTCAAACTGACCTAAATTCCCAAAGAAAAGTTTCTTCAAGCTACAGCTATCAGTCACTGACATTTCAGGAGGCTGTGGGGCAATGTAGGGAAATTAAAAATTGAATCTGAAGAATTTAAGGAAAACTGGCAGCACCAAGTGGTTAATCAGGCACTAAAAGAAGAAACCAAAAGTATGCAGGGATTTTGGATATAGTTACCTCCATCCCCAACCACTGACCATGCCTTGGCTGTGTAGATGCTCCTGCTTAAAACTTTGGATGAACTTGACTGATATCATTCTTCCCCAAGCATTTGCCAAAAAAAATTTATCTATTTTGTTCATAAGACATTTCCATATTGTAATTATAGAAGATATATTATCTATTTAGATGTTACTAAAGCCTTGGATTCTTTCAATTTGGAAAAAGGACGTTTTATCATCAAAAAATAATCATTAAAGTCTTGAACAGGCTTTGATTTTCAGCCTGCTGAGGTTCTTGTCCTTTAATTACAAATTACTACTTCCACATCATCATTATCAGTGTGGTTTGCTATGGGAGGTGATGTGATACCACTTGAGTGTCCAGGATACATAAATGCATCAAGGAGTTTGGGCTTATTATTTTCTTTTTTTGCAGTTTTTTGGCTGGGGCTGGGCTTGAACTCGCCACTTCTGGCATATGGGGCCGGGGCCCTACTCCTTTGAGCCATACGCACCGCGCAAGGGCTTATTATTTTCAAGACATAATGCATTGTGGTTCAAATATGAGATATTCACATCCCAATGGCTAGCAGACATGAGTATATTTCCTCATGAATTATATGTCACATGAGTGACATTTCATTGGTGGTGTGCTGGTCATGAATTTATACTATTCAAATAACTTACATCATATTATGGCAATATAAGTATAATAAAAATTATTTTTAACTTACAGGATATTATTTTATTATATAGAAACATGTTTATGTTTCTTATGTTTTTCCCTTATAAAAGTAACTAATAGGTGATTTACATATGATGTTAATATTGAGTAACTGTATATTGTAACTTATTTTGCTTCTTACCAGTCTTTGCAATCATCCAATTCTTTGTCCACTAGAAATGATCAGTGAAAAGGGTGAGGGAGATAAAAACAAAGTGTGAGAACCACTGCTTCAGGGTGGTTCTGATTAAGGTGGGAGAGAATCACTGGTGGCAAAAAAGCCTAAAGTGATGTGTGCCACTCCCAGGATCTAGGGGTGAACCTGAGTCATGATGCTATTACTTATTTTCCTGTTATAATGAGCTTCTACATAAAATTTTGCTTGAAAAATGGGTTCTTGTAGCTTAAAAAAACTGAGGATTTAAATCATACAGGATGGAAGTGTAGGAAGCTCCAGAAATTGGTCCCTCTAATAAAACAACTATTGAGCTGCAAGAACTGTCTAAAGCAACTATTTTGGAATTTTAGAGAGTAGTGAAATATAGCATCCAGGGGGTGCTTGATAAAGGAAGAGGCTGGTAAATTTTGGTGACTTTTGGCATTTTGTTTAGTGACTATGATTCTCTATCCCTCAAGCCCCTTGGCTGGTAGCCATAGGGATGCTGCTTTTTTTCCTTGTGTGGCTTGCTTATGCAGGGCAAAAGAGTTGTGTGTTTATCACTGAGAGGCTGGTAAAGATGTGAACAAACAGGAGTCCTCATATATTGCTGGTGAGAACAAAGTATTGATACATGCTACAACTGGGATAAATCTCAAAAACATGCTAACTGAAAGAAGCCAGATATAAAAGTTACAATTAGTAAGATTCCTTTCTCATAATATATCCGGAATAGGAAAATTCATAGAGACAGACAGTAGACTGTAGGACATCAGCAGATAGAAGATGAGGGGAATGGAAGAGATTTTTTTTTTCAGTAGGGCAATGAAAATGTTGAAACTAGAGAGGCGGTGGTTGCACAGCATTGTGAATACACTAAATACCACTAAGTTGTACACGGTTATTATTGTACGTTATGTGGTACACCTCAATTTAAAAAAATGACAATCACCATTATAAAAAATGCCCAATGGTCGCTTAAAAGTAAAATTGTTAGTGGTGTATACCAAGTACAAGTTCAGAAAAAGATTTAAGATAAAATCATACACACACACTCACACTTCTTACCTGAAATGAGAAGCTTGATTTAGGAGGCAACTATAGTCATCAGGAAGCTCTATCAAACTATTTCTTTTTCTAGGGTACCTAGAAACATAATTTAAAAGGCAATTTTATTTTGGGGTAAACAGGCCAAAATCAAATATTGATCAAGAAGATGGAAAGAAAAATGGCTTAAAAATAATAAAAGGATCTTTATTTTCAATTCAAAGTAATTCCCACTATTAACTAAATAAAATCTAAACTTCTCCCAGCTTAAGATTTCAAAGCTTTCATTAGCTGTCTTCCTTTTCAAACTTAATTATGTAAACATGAAAGAGGTAAAGTCTCCATCTTTCTTTATGGCTGCATAGTATTCCATGGTGTACATGTACCACAATTTATTGATCCATTTGTGGATCGATAACGAAGAAAATGACATAAAGGCTATGTTAACCAGTTTGATGAAAATATTTCAAATTGTGTATGAAAACACCACACTGTACACATGATTGCATTGATGTACACAGCTATCATTTAATTAAAAAAAAGAATAAAAGAATACTATCAACAACAACAAAAAACTTAATTATGACTGTTTCCTAAGACTTAACTGTTCTAGTACCCTAAACTCTCTGACACTTGATATTTGTAAATGAGGGATAAATATATTTCAGTCAAGAGCATCAAAATATCTTAACACAATAATCAGGTAAATGAGGTAAAAGCTTTGTTGATTGGTTTGATGTAACCATGTCAGACTGTATAAAAAACCCCCAACACATTGTACCCCAAATATGCATAAATATATTCATGATTTATGTGTATTTGACTTTTTTTTTTTTTTTTTGGAGACAAAGCCTCAAGCTGTCCCCCTGGGTAGAGTGCCATGGCCTCACAGCTCACAGCAACCTCCAACTCCTGGGCTCAAGCGAGTCTCCTGCCTCCGCCTCCCAAGTAGCTGGGACAACAGGCGCCCGCCACAACGCCCGGCTATTTTTTGGTTGCAGCCGTTATTATTGTTTTGGCAGGCCCGGGCTGGATTCGAACCCTCCACCTTAGGTGTATGTGGCTGGTGCCTTAGCCACTTGAGCCACAGGTGCCAAGCCGTGTATTTGACTTAATTAAAAAAAAAAAAAGAGCACAGCATCAATTTAATAACAGATTCTCAGGGAAAACGGAGAAATATTGAATTAAATGATTAAAAGGCTCACACTGATTAAATAAATGTTAATATGAATATTAGTATCAAGGACTCAAACGACCCAAACTTACAGAGCTGTTGAATACTGAATGAGACACTGAAGTGAAACATAATACACTTAGTACTTAACACATATACTTGCAAATGTTATTCATTCCCGCCACACCTGAGATGATAAAAGATCATATGAATATGGGAAATTCTTTCCTCAAACTCCAATCAATTTAAATTCCATAGTTCTTTCCTTCATCTTCAATACATTGTCTGCCTGTATTTAGGGCAACTATACTTTTTTTTTTTTTTTGAGACAAAGTTTTGCTTTTGTTACCAACACTAGAATGCAGTAGCATCATCACAGCTTACTGCAACTCCTGGGCTCAAGCGATCCTCCTGCCTCAAACTCCAGAGTAGCTGAGACTACAGGCACACACCATCATGCCTGGCTAATTTTTTCTACTTTTGGTAGAGTTGGGGTATCACTTTTGCCAAGGCTGGTTTCAAACTCCTGAGATCAACTGGTTCTATCCCTTTAGCCTCCCAGTGTGGTAGGATTACAGGTGTGAGCCACCATATATGGTCATACCATTTACTGAGCAAACTCAGATTTTTATTTATTTATTTATTTTGAGACAGAGTTTTACTCTATTGCCCCTAGCTAGGGTACTGGTCATACCATTTACTGAGCAAACTCAGATTTTTATTTATTTATTTTGAGACAGAGTTTTACTCTATTGCCCCTAGCTAAGGTACTGGTCATACCATTTACTGAGCAAACACAGATTTTTATTTATTTATTTATTTTGAGACAGAGTTTCACTCTATTGCCCCTAGCTAGGGTACTCTGGTATCATCCTAGCTGACAGCAACCTCAGACTCTTGGACTGAAGTCATCTCTCTGCCTCAGCATCCCAAGTAGCTGGGACTATAGGCACCCACCACAATGCCCAGCTACCTTTTCTATTTTTAGTAGTGATGGAGTTTCACTCTTGCTCACCCTCGTCTTGAACTCCTGAGCTCAACCGATGCCCCCCTAGGCATCCCAAAGTGCTGAGATTACAGGTGTGAGCTACTGCGCCCAGCCCTCCTTTGCCTTGTGATAGGCATACACCAGCTGAAGAGGAGCTAGGGGCTTCCGAAGAGGAGCTGGGGGCTTCTATCAAGTTAAGAGGCAAATGATAGTCATTCTAACAGAAAAACAGTTGTAGGGAGAATCTGATTTCTGGCAAAGACCTAACAGAAATGTACTGAGTGAGTATAAAGAAGACAAACTAGAAAGCATGCTCAACTAACTACTTCAGGAAACACAATTTGCGGATGGGGGTAAAAGGATTAAGTAGTAAAACCAACCTGACCACAGTGCTTTTTTGCTTCAAACAGTTTAGTAAGGCGTGATCTGTGCACCATCTGTATGTGAAGCCAAGAGAAAAAGCAGATAGTCAGTTTCAGAATAATATTTGTCAATGAGCCATTCTCTCCAATTATTTCTGCCCTTTCTGTGTTCCCCTTCTATATTTACCTTACATCATGCCCCTTTCGCCTCCTTTTCTTTTTTGTGTCTATTTTTTCCCTCTCTTATTAATTAATTTTGTTCTTGCTAAAAAACAGAAACCAGTTCAAGTTTACAAGAGAGAATTTCCCAGGAAGTGGCAATAAAAGTAACAGGGGTGCTGAGAAGCCAAACATGAGACAAAAATGCAAGGCAATCTCAAGATCACCACTCCCCCAGGCTGGAAGAACAAAAGGAAACAATATTATTGGAACCCAGGGGCTAGAGTCACCAGTGGGATACTGGAATCACAGGCTTATCTGATAGGAACTAGAGCCATAGGAAAGTCACAACCACTGCCAGAGATGCCCTGCAAGGCAGAGAGAGGTAGCTTGAATACTCAGGCTTTTCCTTTCTTCCTGGCCTCCAAAATCCTGCCAGTGCCTCCCACTGGCTAAACCTGGGCAGAAGCCAGCTGATAAGGGAGATAAGGAAATATGGCCTGTGAAGGGTCATTTCCCTGCAATACAGAGCAGAGACAGAAGAGGAAAGACTATGAGGCAAGCAAGCAGGGCCAGGAATGGTACAAAAGGCAAGGACTTTTACTTTCAAAGTTTGAAGTTTTAGTACTTGACTAAACTAGAGTAACAAGTTTAAAACCTACCTATTCCAAGAATATACAAGCAAAATTAGCAAACCTACTGTGATTATGCACAACACAAAGCATAATAGTGATTTTTAAAAAACAATTCATTTTGACCACACTAGAGATCAGAATATCTCATGAGAAATGAGGAAGAAGAGAAAAGAATCTGACCCAGAGAACCTAGTGCACAGGAAAGGTGGCAGGAGACAGAGGCCGACATTCACACAAATCCTCACCTGGGCATGTGGAGAAAAAGATAATGATTACGGAAAAAGGAGAAAGAAAGAGGCAGAAAAGTATGGAGACTGACGGAAATCTTGGGGAAAATCAAGTAAGAGTAACGTAGTGAGAAGTGATTATAAACATGATGGGAAACGGTGCAAAGACAGAGTAAGGAGACTAGAGGTTAGAAGGGTTGACATGACCAGGAGGGCTGGTGAATAATGGTGTGGAAAGTTTTTATGAAAGCACACATTTCTCTCTGTGAAGTTTAACTGATACATCTTGGATCTACCACATGACCTTCTCTCCTCAGTCACCTCCTGAGATGTGTGCTACCATGTGAGAAGTGTTCCTGCTCTGGATACAGCTCCAATGTGGGTTCTTTTAATTTTTTGTTTTTAATTGTTGGGGAATCATTCAGGGTACAATGAGCCAGGTTACACTGCTTGCGTTTGCTGGGTAAAGTCCATCTATTAATAGTGTTCTGCCCCCAAAAGGTGTGTTACACACTGTGGCTCCACACCCCCAGCCCTTCTTCCCTCTTTCCCCTCCGTCCACCATGTATTAGCATCAATTGTCCTCATATCAGAATTGAGTACATTGGATTCTTGCTTCTCCATTCTTGTGATGCTTTATTAAGAAGAATGTATTTCAACTCCATCCAAAATTAACACAAAAGATGTAAAGTCACCATCATTTTTAGTGGCTATATAGTATTCCATGGTATACATACACCACAGCTTGTTAATCCATTCCTGGATTGGTGGGCATTTAGGTTGCTTCCACAATTTGGCAATTGCAAATTGAGCTGCAATAAACAGTGTAGTGCAAATGTCCTTATGATAAAATGATTTTTTGTTTTTCTGGGTAGATGCCCAATAATGGGATTGCAGGATCGAATGGGAGATCTAGTTTGAGTTCTTCGAGGAGTCTCCATATTCCCTTCCAAAAGGGTTGTATTAGTTTGCAGTCCCACCAGCAGTTAAAAGTGTTCCCTTCTCTCCACAACCATGCCAGCATCTGCAGCTTTGAGACTTTGTGATGCGGGCTATTCTCACTGGGATTAGATGGTATCCCAGGGTGGTTTTGATTTGCAGTTTTCTGGTAATTTAAAAAAAAATTTTTTTTTTCTTTCAGTTTTTGGCCAGGGCTTGGTTTGAACTCACCACCTCGCCCTACTCCTTTGAGCCACAGGCACCGCCCTAATTTTTTTTTTTAAGAGACAAAGTCTCACTTTATCACCCTTAGTAGAGTGCCATGGCGTCACAGCTCACAGCAACATCCAACTCCTGGGCTCAGGCAATTATCTTGCCTCAGCCTCCCAAGTAGCTGAGACTACAGGTACCCACCACAAGCCCGGCTATTTTTTTGTTGCAGTCTGGGCGGGGCTGTGTTTGAACCTGCCACCCTTGGTATATTGGGCTGATGCCCTACCCACTGAGCCACAGGTGCTGCCTGGTTCTTTTAAATTTTTTTTTTTTTTTTTTTTTTGAGACAGAGTCTCACTATGCTGCCCTCAGTAGAGTGCTATGGCATCACAGCTCACAGCAACCTCAAATTCTTGGGCTTAAGCAAGTCTCTTGCCTCAGCCTCCCAAGTAGCTGGGACTATAGGTGCCTATCACAATACCCAACTATTTTTTTGTTGCAGTTATCATTTTTACTTAGCTGGCCTAGTCTAGGCTCAAACCTGCCACCTTTAGTGTATGTGGCTGGTATCATAACCACTGTGCTACAGGCACCAAGCCTTTTTTTTTTTTTTTCTTCTCACTTGAGACAAGGTCTTAAGCTGTCACAGCTCACAGCAACCTCAAACTCTTGGCCTTAAGCAATTCTCTTGCCTCAACTTTCCAAGTAGCTGGGACTACAGGTGCCCGCCACAACACCTGGCTATTTTTGTTACAGTTGCCACTGCTGTTTTAGCTGGTCAGAGCAGGGTTCTAACCCGCCACCCTCGGTATATAGGACTAGCAGCCTACCCACTGAGCCACAGGTGCCCGGTTCTTTTAATGTTTAATCGTGACTTTATACCTGTTAGCAACATTCTCTCCTAACCCACCTTTACAACTGGTATGAGAAACCAGGTGTGGGTAAAATAAGTAAAATGAATGGTAGTCATGGCAGAGCAAGCAGAAATTCCAGGTCCCTGGGGCTGCTAGTTTTATCTCCATACCTTAAGTGTATGAACATAAATTAGCAATCTTTTGTTTTGCCCTTTAATCAATGCCAATCAATCTAAAAGCTTAGCAAGTAATTGTAATTTAAAATTCGCAAACTATATAATAACCCACCAATGATATTTTACCCCATAGTACCTCTGGAGCAAGGGCCGTACAGTATCCCAATACTCCTGGAAGAGCAGGAACAAATTTGTGGGTAAAGATAGATAGCTACAAAGTGCACTGAACTCTCCTTCTGCAGAATCTGCAAGAGAATAAAAATACATTTAATAAGCTTATTATTCTTACCTGGTCAATCAATAGAATTTCTTCATTGTTTACGTTCATTTCTATAATCTCTCTATATGGAGTATATTTGGTACTCTATGAAACCAGGGGTGGCACATAATCCAGAGATCCTCTTAAAACATAAATCTGATTGAGTCATTCTCCTGCTCAGCTAGCATCACACTTAGAATTAAAGTACAGTATAATACAAAGTCCTATGTGATCTGCCCCTGGCTGCCTCTTGAATCTCATATACTTTTGCTCTCCCCCTCTTAATTAGGCTTCAGACATACTCACATCTTTACTGTTTTTTGACTATGCCAACCAAAGCCTCTGCATTTATCATATCTTCTCCTTAGGAATACTCCTCCTTCAGTTCAATCCCATCCACGCAGCTCTTTGTTCAATGTCTCCTTCCCAGAAAAGCCTTCCATGACTACTTATCTCCAAGATCTCCCCACTTTGCCCAGTATTATTTTTGTGACCTGCTTTATTTTTCTTTGCAGCATTTGTCATCATGATATTATATTATATATATTTATCTGTTTGCTCAAATTTGGTCTCCTTCCAATAAAGGAATTTTATTTTATTCACTGCTATATTGTAGCAACTACTAGATAAATAAATAAATGATTGTTGGGCTGGGTGCAGTAGTTCACATCTGTAATCCTAGCACTCTGGGAGGCTGAGAGGGTGGACTGCCTGAGTTCCAGGTTCAAGATGAGCATGAGCCAGAGCGAGACCTCATCTCTGAAAAACAGCTGGGCATTGTGGCAGGCGCCTATAATACCAGCTACTTGGAGGATGAGGTAAGAGAATCATTTGACCCCAAGAGTTTGAGGGTGCTATGAGCTATGATGACATAGCACTCTACTGAGGGCGACAAAATGAGACTGTCAAAAACAAAAACAAAAACCCGTAATTGTTTTGTGTGTGCAAAGAACAGATTTGTACTGGCAACTACTTGGAAGGTGGCATCCTATTTTATGTAGAACCATGACCTATATCAAATAAAGGTAACCTGGTCATATTATTCTGAAAAGGACAAAAGAATAAATCCAAGTTATCTTGGTGGCTTTACCAAAAATTAAAGATTTTTGATTTTTACCCAAAGCACATGGAAGCTGTCTCTACTTTGGTCTAAATTTAGAGGCAAGTAAATGAGAAAGAAAATGATCCTGTTGGTTAAATTTACATGATCTTGGTTGTTTCTGATAAGCCTTCATCCAGGAGCATTTAAATTCCTTAATATTTTCAAAATTCAAATAACTAAGTATACAGTGAAGTCTTCCTCCTACCTAGACAAACAGTTCTCTTATGTAAAGTAACCAGTGTTTCCAGTTATAGTGTAGTTTCTAATTACTTGTATAGCCTATCCAGTTATATCCTTTTTTTTTTTTAATAACTATGATCACCATCATCTTTATTTGGGTTTCTGCCTGCTGCTCCCTGGAATCCTGGGATGAGGTGGGAATGATCGCAAGGTGTGGGGCAAGAGAGGCTTTCATTCAGTTTTTGTTTCTTATGGAGACAAAAATCTCACTCTGCTGCCTAGGTTAGAGTGCCATGGCATCAGCTTAGCTCACAGAAACTTCAAACTCTTGGGTTCAGGCAAACCTCCTACATCAGCCTCCAAGTGCCGGGACAATAGATGCTTGTCATAGCACCCAGCTAGTTTTTCTATCTTTAGTAGAGATATAGTCTCACTTTGCTCAGGCTAGAAGTTACATTCTTCATGCAGGCATTTTATAAGCTCAAGCACATAAACTATATACACATATAGGAGTCAAAGGTAAGTCTTATAGATTATGAAGCTAATCTGGTTTTTGGCCTTACCTTTAACCTACACTAGGGCAGGGGCACACATGTTTGAAGCGAACACAGCTGAAAGAGATGGGGAGTGGAGAAGTAATTTTGCCTGCTCTAACCTTGGTTGTTTTTTTTTTTTGAGACACTGTCTTAAGCTGTTGCCCTGGGTAGAGTGCCATGGTGTCACAGCTCACAGCAACCTCAATCTCTTGGGTTTAAGCAATTCTCTTGCCTCAGCTGCCCAAGTAGCTGGGACTACAGGCGCCTGCCATAACACCCAGCTATTTTTTGGTTGTAATTGTCATTGCTGTTTGGCAGGCCTGGGCTGGATTTGAACCCGCCAGTTCTGGTGTATGTGGCTGGTGCCCTAGCCACTGAGCTACAGGCGCTGAGTCTAACCTTGTATTCTTGATCTTATTTAAGACAGTCTCACTTTATCACCCTCATCCTACAGTGCTGTGGTGTGATACCTCACCTCAAACTGGGCTCAAGCAATCCTCTTGCCTTGGTCTCCCAAGTAGCTGGGACTACAGGCACTTGCCATAATGCCTGACTAGTTTTTTCTAGTTTTAGTAGAGACAGGGTCTCTCACTCTTGCTCAGACTGGTCTCAAACTCCTGAGCTCAAATGATTCGTCCACCTTGGCCTCCCAGAGGGCTAGGATTATAAGCGTGAGCCACCATGCTCGGCCTTGTAATCTTTTTTTTTTTTTTTTTT